ATAAATCATCTTGCATTTTTACCCCAAACATTTAGGTCAAAAAGTCTGAGAAAGAGCAATGGCAAGACCCCCTGACGTCCCCTCACTCTGCATATCCAGTCCCAAACTATTTTCTGCCATTTTTATACCCACAACATGTATTGGCCTCATTCCCTCTCTTTCATAGTTGTCACTTTCCTAGTTTAACTTTCTATTGTCTATTGTTTAGAATACTAGAATGTAATCCTATCAGATATTTCTATAATATTTTAAAAATAGCAACCTGCTTCTAGGTATGAACTTGCTTAAAATTATCAAGTGGTTTTTCAATACTTTTGTAACATGATGGGGCCGACTTGCTGAGGTTTTCTGTCCTGCCCAATTCCTACAACTGTTTAGCCCCAAAGAAAATCACACAGAGGTCTCCATAAGTTATAAGCTGATTGGCCCATTCGCTCAAGCTACTTCTTAGCTCTTGTTGCTTATATTAACCCATTATTATGATCTCTTTTAGCCACATAGATCAGTACCTTTCTCAACTGGCAGGTTTATATCTTGCTTCTTGGTGGTCTGGGCAGGAGAGAGGGAAGAATCAGCTTCCTCCTTCCCAGATTTCTCCTGTTCTCATTGCATCACCTCTACTTCCTGTCTGGTTTTCTCAACTATACTTCCTGCCTGGCCAATCAGCATTTATTTAAAACATGATTGACAGAATACAGACAATTCTCCCACACCATACTTTAAGTATAAAGACAAAGTTCTCTTATAGTCTACAAAATGATATATGCTGTAGACTCTGCCTAATTTTCCGAGCACTGTCTTTGCTAGTGTTCTCTTTCCTCAATGTGCTAATAGCCCTTTCTATTTCATTTTCTACAACAATCATTCTTCTGCTGCTCTAGGTACTTTGTTTCCCTGTCCTTCAGCATAAATGTGTTTTTTTAATAATTTTTTTAATGTTCCTCATCTTTCAGCTCAAATTTCACATACTTATCAACAGCTCACTAATGGACCAGAATCATCCCCACTTACAAACTCTCATAAACATCCTATTTTTCTTTTCTTTTTCTATTCTCTCATATATTGTATTCCAGTCACAGTTTTCCCTCCCTCTTCTCCCCCGAGTCTCTTCTCCATAGCCTTCCCTCTTCCCCAGACCCATGTACCCTCTATTTCCCCTCAGAAAAAAAACAGATCACCCAGGGACATCAACCAAATAAGACATGATATGCTACAATAAGACCTAGTAAGGGGGACATGGAGCCTGAACCAGCCATCTTCTGTAACCAGGCAAGGCCTCAAATGAAGGAATTGGGGCACCAACACAGTCATAAAACCTATTTTTTCTTTATAACAAAATTTTATAATTAAAAAATATCTTTTAATAAGACTGTGTATACAATAGTGGGTGTCCATATTGTTTTTCTCAGGATAGTATGCACCATAAATATACAGCAGAATACCCAACCAATGATTAATGTATATCTAATCATATTAGAGGTATGAAATAAAAAACATTGTATTAGGTTATGGAACCTAAACTGCTCACAAAATGCTATTAGACCAGTGGCTCTCAGCCTTCCGGATACTGCGACTCTTTAATACAGTTTCTCATGTTGTGGTGATGCCCCCCAACCAGAATATTATTTTTCTTGCTACTTCATTGCTGTAATTTTGCTATTGTTGTAAATTATAACATAATAATCTATGTTTTCCAATGGTCTTAGGTGACCCTTGTGAAAATGTCATTTGATTCCCCCCCCCAAAAAAGGGGTTGTGATCCATAGGTTAAAAACTGCTGGGATAGATGATTCCCCATATCTGTAATTATTTTCAGGTACTCAGAGAACCAACATCTCTTGCATATTGAGTTTCAGATTCTGACTCCAAATTGACATTCATTTATACTTTTTAGATTTTCTAAATATTTCCCTTTTAATTCTCTTTTAATTTGTAACTCATTAGTGATGAATATTTTGGAGACACTGGAAGTAGATGACTGTGAATGTCATGTTGTTTCACAGTGTGTCAATAAAAACTTCTGCTTTTTCAGTTAATCCCTTTTCAGCAAAATTTGATGTAAAAGGCAACGTTCTATTGATGCTTGTATTCAAACATGGTGTTTTACATGGTTGTATTTCTTTTAGAGGTATTATTTATTTTTTTCTAACTTGTGTGAAAGTAGTTGATAGAATTATTGTATGTTTAGCACTAATTCATTGGCTATTAATGTCTTTGTCTCTAATTAATTGTATTTGCGTATTTACCAGTCCTCAACTATTTATGCTTCTAGAAAACCTTGAAAATAATTTTGAAAAGTTCTGAAACCTGTATATTTCTGTCATTTTGATTGGGATGAGGTTAAACAAATTAATTTAATTGAGAAGATTTTTTTTAATGTTCTGTCTTCTCTTTTTAGTTGCACAAAATCTTTCATTTATGTCTTTTAACTAAGCTTTCTCATTTACTTCAAAATAAAGAGAAATTTCCTTTTTATTTCTGTTGCTACTGAGTGCAGTGGGTGGAGTAAAACTAATGGTATGAAAGGAAGTCATTCATTTGTTTTTATCATGATTAATCATTGTATAAATTTTATCCAACCACTAGTCTCTAGAGTTTGGACAAATTTATCTGTTAGCAAACACAGTTTCATTCTCTCTGAATCTTTGAAAATGATACGTTTATTTTATATATAACCACATTGGCTAGCATGTCAGGAGCAACACTGAATATGTACAAAAACAACCACTGCTTTTTTGTGACTCACCAAGAAACATGAAGAACTTTAAAATAGTGCATTTACTTTTTTCTGACATAAATGATATATATATTGTATTATATAATCTAGTATTGATTATATAGAATTTGAAAGTAATGCATTTACTTTTATCTACATAAATAATATATACTGTATTATATAATCTAGCATATATATTATATAATTAATCAGTTTTTTTGAAGAAGACTGATTGTTGAGCTTCATCAAGTTCTTTGTATATATTCTTTGTAGAGAGTTGCGTGATGCCATGCCTTAAAGGTGGTGCTGGTTTCCGCCTTCCACCTTCCCAACAGTGAGTGCTCTCAGCTGTGAACAACTCCATATATGGCTAGCACTAAGGATCTGGCTTGCTTCCACGTTTCTGGACCTATCTGTGTTTCCCACATGGCTTGTTGGGATTGGCTACCCAGAGGTTATTTAAGCTATGGGGCTGGCTTTGCCCAGGGCGAGAGGTTGAGAAGGGGCGAGAGGGTGAGAAGATTATTCAAAGGTCCTGAATAAACTGCAGTTAAGAAGAGTCCGGTATTGCATCTTCCTTGTTGGCAAGGTGGGCACGACAATTCTTTTTTATTTTTTAAATCTTGTGCCATATCTTTCTATTATAAAGTTTTATTTTTGTGTGTATAGATGTTTTCCTACATGTATGCCTGTGTACCACCAGTGTGCCTGATGCCTGTGGTGACCACAAGAAGGGAGCATGCCAGATTGGATTCCCTGACTCTGTACTCACAGATGATTGTGAGCTGCTCTGTGGATGCTGGGAATTGAAACTGGGTTCCCTGAAAGAGCAACCAGTGCTCTTAAATGCTAAGCCACCTCTTCATCCCTTCTCGTTATTTTTGGTTTTGTTTTAGTTGTTTGTTTTTTTTTTCAAGACAGGGTTTCTCTGTATAGCTTTGAAGCCTGTCCTGGAACTTGCTGTGTAGAACAGGCTGGCCTCGAACTCACAGCTATCTGCCTGGCAGCCTGCCTGCCTCTGACTCCGGAGTGCTGGGATTAAAGGTGTGCACCACCACCGCCTGGCTTCTCCTTCTATTAAAGAATCAATTCTTTTCACTACTTTTTCTTTCCCCCCTCAGTCTTTTCAAAATGTTTGATATTATAATATTACATATTTCGCTTTCCTTTCCTCCCTTAAAATCCTCTTTCAAACCCATGGCCACTTTTTACACTAATTGTTATTCATGCATGTCTGTATATGTGTATTCCTAAATATGACTTGTTTAATCTATATAATGTTACTTGTATCTGTTTCCAGGGCTATCCTTTTGTCTTTGTTATTGATTTTTTTTTCTTTTGGAGACACAGTTTCTGTATGTTGCCTATGATGATCTTAAACTCCTAGGCTATTTTCTCCCTCAGCAGCCGGAGTAGCTGGTTGCACAGAAGCATTTCTCTGTGTCCACCTGAGAACCAGTTCTTGAACATAACAGTTCTGTTTGCTTCCTAACCATTGGACCTTTACTCTCTTCCTGTATCTTTCTTTCAGTGTGTATCATTCCTTCTGAATTTATAAAGTTAATGATTTGTTTTTACTTTATTTTAAAATAATAATATTTTCAAGCCCTCAATTGAACTGGGACTTTAGTCCACAGAAATTGAGCGATAGTCACTATCAGCAAATAGAAAAGAAAATATAATACTGGCCCATGTGGTGTGGAGTTTATACTTGTAGGTAAATGTGTAAAGATGTCAGGTTTATGGCATTGTTAAAAATCATCAGTGTTGAACCAGTGTTCCAGATGCTAAGGCACGGGCCTCAACAAGTCTTACAATCCAAGGACCTGAGTTCCATCCCCAGCACAAGTGTCAAGGTGGAAGGGGAGAATCAACTCAACAAAGGAGTCCTCTGACTTCCACATACTCGTTTTGCTTAAATTAAATAAATTAATTTAACTTAAGAAAGTCTCAAGGTCTTATTCAATGTTAGTCTTTGGTGGTCTGCTATAGTTGCATATGGTTGTTTATGTTTCTATGAAACAGAAACACCATTAAAATGCTTTAAATTGTTCTGAGCTGAAGACTCTCTATAAGTAGCTGAATTTACATAACAAGAAAATTGTAAGATAATTAAAAAGCAATTATTACAGAATGAAAATGGGGAAATGTGAGATTGTGAAATATAAGTATGTAGAAGAGGTAATGGGTACAGAGTCATGTTCATAATTTTATATCTGATTTCTGTAACCAAAAGCCAAATAAATTTCCATAGTATCTGTCAAATGATGAAAATAAAACATGATTGAATATGGTAAACTTTATTATAGGGTTGTAGAATTCATACAACCAGAACTCCTTACAGCATTCAGCACCTGTACAGCTTTGTGGATTTCACAACACAGATATCAGTGAGAAAGAATCATTACATGCGTAAAAAATTACTTCCTCATGACTATTGTTCACATATAAGTCAGATTCATTACAGAGCACCTGATAGAAATGCAAAAAATGTAATTTCTAAAGTCAGGAGAGTTGAACAAAATGAAGAATGAAGCAAAAGAATGTTAAGAGATTTGACATGCTTCACATATAAATGTCAAAAAAGAACTTGAAATATTTTAAATTTAAAGCACGCTCTATCCGTATGATTTTATCAAGAGCTTGCTTTAAATAAAAACAGAGGATGGACTTTGTCAGGATGTTAGATGACATATTCATGCTGCTTTCAGAATCTAAACCCTATAAATTCAAAAGAAAAGATAATCATTTAATTTGTTGCAAACAGCAAGCAATGTCAATTAAACTTGAATTGGACAATGGCTTGCAGTGGTTAGTAGTTCTCTCCCCCCTTTCCGTTTCCAGTATAAGCAATAGAGTAAATGTATGAGTAAATATCATGAGTATCCCATTACTAAAATCACATTGTAAGCTGCTGACTTCTTATTACCAAGGATACTCTTTATCTGCCCTTCTTCACTCTTGACAGATCTTGGTCTCAACAATAAATTCATTGGGGAAGTGTCTAATCTTCCAGCATTTGTCAATGGCACGCTTGTTGAAACCTGTGAAGACATAAAAAGATGGTTTTTGAGCTGTCTGTGTCCATGAAGAGGTATTTCAACATGCTCATTTCCATGCAGTCTACCCTCACTCTCTTCCGTTCACCCCAAAATAATAAACTACCTACCCAGCAAGAGGTCTCTGCGTCTAAGGCGGAAGGATTTGCGGTTGTTGCAAAGTTGGTAAATAAAAATACCAAGGTTACTAACATCACGGATTTCTTCCACAGCAACCAGGTCTTCACGAACCACATAAGTGTGAGGCAAATACTTGCCACTCTAAAAGTGCAAAGAAAAAAGATTAAGACAGTAAATTCTTAAAGACAGTATTCAAATTCCCACTTACATCCTTTTAAAAATAGACATTTTAAAAAATAGAATTCATTTTACAACGGTTTTATATACTATTTTTATTATACATATATACATTTATGAGTTTCAAGTTCAGTGTGCTATTTGCACATACACAGAGCATGTATTGATGAAATCCAACCTCCCTTTATCCACCTCCCCCTACAGACATGCCCTTCTCAACTTCTGTTAATCAGTGTGTGTGTTCAGGTGAACACTTTTAGCTTCTCTATATGAAAAACATAAAGCATTTGTCTGACTGGCTTACATTGCTTAACATAAAATACCTCAATTCCATCTATTTTGGCACAGCATCCGCTTTTCATTAAAAAATATTTCAACGAGATGGAATGTCTGGCCTTATTCATTAACTTTTTGAATAATGAAGCAAAATTATTTGGAAATGCTTATAAGAAAAAAATGATCTCTAAAATACATACTGCCAGTTTGCCAAAAAGCTCCACCAGATTCTTTGGAGTCATAACAATGGAAGTATTGAGGGGCATCAGATAACAGTTTCCCAAAAGCAAGTCCAGGTAAGCAGTCATTCCCTGTTGGGGAGGTGCAAAACGACGCATATTAATACTTCAGATTTTCAAGTACCATGAGAACAAACAGCCAGACATTTTTTGAAAATTCACTACGCCTACCCAACAACAACATAATAAAAGGGTTTGGCTCCAAAAGGGTGTTAATTTATGAATAAATTCCTTTCAGCGAAGAAGGACTAGAGAAAAATTTCGAATAGCTGCAAGAAAGAAAAATCCACCTTCTCAAAGTCATGGATAATTGCCGCAGGGTCACTATCTGAAAAACTGGGAACAGGCACATCAATGATTGCAATGTTGTCGTCCTCACGGATATCAGCCTCCTCGGTCACAGGCAGGAAATATGGCTCTCCTCCATGGAGGGAATTTACAGGATCTTCAGAATCAAAGAAGCACATCTCACCGTGGTAAATGGTGCTCTAAGAGACAAAGGGGGAACTTAAGACTTTGCAATATTCATCGCCATGACACCTGAATTGTCTCTTACACTCATGTCAGTTCATTGTACTGTGTTAATCTGAGACTTGTTTGTTATAGCGTTATGAAACCTAAGCAATGGCAAAGAGTGAAAGGTAATTGAAAACATTCCTCAAGTCTGCATTTCTCTGGTTACCACCACATAATTATTTAGGTTGCTAATGAAATACATGGCAATTAGTAATTCCAAATAGTAAGAGTTATAATTATTACCTTAGGCATGAAGTACTTGTAAATGCAGGCTCCACCCACAATCAGCCCAGCCAAGATGAATGAGAGGCCTAGGAGAGTAAGCATGCATCTCCCAGAAGAGCTGTCTTTCTCCTGCGTGGCAACTCTGAGCTCCTATGGATTAGAAAGCAAATAAAAAAGATTATATTTTTAGACAGTTGCTTTTGTGTGCAACTTATCACCCCTAGCATTTTCAAAATGAAATATAAATATGTTATTTAAAATATGTACTTGTAGAATGTTAAAATAACCATTAATTTATAGAATGACATATTTTTATTAAAAATACTTAATATAAATCTACCTTTTTAACAAATGTTTAATGGATACAAGAGTATTTTTAACTATAGATATGATATAATGCAGGTTGTCTCTAAAGAGTTTGTTCTTTAAATAACTGAAACTAGTCATAGTTTTATAAACACCGGCTTCTTAGTCCATAGAAATAGACACTTTGCTACTTGCTTTGAATTCAATTTATTAACTTAAAGGAGTGTTAGTAACCTTCAAATCATTGACTACTTTTCAAGAAGCTCTATTGTCAAGTTAGAAAGGAATTACTTCAGTCTATATGGTGCAATAATGCTATTTTCCAAGTCCTAGCGTAAGTGCTAGATTTAAAAGCACAGGATTTGCTACATACAGAGCTGTTTGTGAAGCAGTGATTTGAACGTTCTGTCAAATCAATACTTTGCTGGCAAATTCTAAAAGAAAAATCCAAAACAAAAAGTAACTGATTAACTGCACCCTCCATAGGGCATGGAACTAAAGGCCTACTATTTTCGATTTTCATATCACAATACACCCCTCAGCCACATTGTTACTCAGCGACAGAATAAGTGAAGGCAGAAAATCTCAGCCCTGACAATACAAGTTGGTATTAAAAAATTATTTTAGTTTGTCTACCATCAGAATTTTTCATGAAATTTCTGTTTTGGATATTTAACTGACCTTAAGACAATTTGGTGAAAAATGTATGTTAATGTGCAAAAAAGGAAGGGTAGAAAATCATTTGATAATTTTTGTTCACAAAATAAATATATTTTTTAAAGGACAAAATTTGAAATTTATATTTTCTTAATAATTTAATTAAGCTTATTTCATCAATTATATTTAACAGATACTGAAATACCTTAATTGTTTTCATTAAAAATCTAAACTAATGTTTAGCAGTACAAAAACTAAACTTTAAATTTTGACTGCTAATTACTGTAATACAGTTGTGGGTTCTTAGAAGGCATATTTTAGATAATTAAATTTAGGTGCAGAAAGATGAAATGACTTGCTAAAAGGCACATAATAGCTTAATTTGAAATTCTTTGAGGAGTGAATTTCTTTTTTTTATTACTGAGACAGAAGAACAATTTGTACTGTAACTTCATTTCTCTTTTCCAATAATTCAGGAAGTTTATCATTAAGCATGGCTAAAGTATGAGGGTCTTGGTTTAGCTAGACATGCCTGGTCAGTAAGAATAAGGATTTCTTTTGTTTTCATTTAACACTGTTGGAATTCAATGTAATTGAATGAATCAATTATCATAGCTAATTTCTTTTCCAAGTGTATTTTAAAAGTTACTGCATATCATTTGCCAATATGAGTCCAATGTGTTCAACCTCTGTTGATCAGGCCTAATCCCTGTATCGCAATGTGATATGTCAAGTAGTACTGTCAGAGGCCATGTTAGGGTTCTAGTGCAGTTTCTCTAAAGCCTAACAAAGAAATAAAACCAAAGAGGAGATATTTGTTTTTATTTATCCCTCATCTCACCACAGGACTGGCCAAAGTATTACATATTAATTGAATCTTTCTACAACTCACGAAGTTTTTTGGTGGTGAGGGGAAAAAAGGATTACTGTGTGGCTATTTTTAACTACTGGCATCTAGTTAGACCTCCCCTCAAATCTGGCCATGCTTCATTTACAAAGTTAGTAGGAAGACAACTACATATTTGACCTTCCGTCATTTAATTAAAACCTCAACAATGCAAGGGGGTGTTGCTTTTGAGTTCCAGAATGTGTGATACACAAAAGCTAGTTTGATTGCAGCATTCAATATTGAAAGTTTCCACGATGGAAGTTCTGCGGCAGCGCATCAACATCTCAAACTGTATGCATAATTACATTTCACTACATGAACCCACAGCTCACTCAAAACGCTTTTCAAATAGCCACCCTAAACCTAAAAGGGAAAACTTTCTAAAGACAACAGGACAAGTTAGGGCAGATCAAGTCCCATTCCTGCAGATTCCACAGACGCAGTCGAAAATATGGTCGCCTTTTAAAATTGAGATTTTACTGAGGAAAAAAATGATAGTTTATCAACACTCCAAACGCCGTTGGTTTTTAAAAGAAATATATATTGAACAAGATAAACAACCTGGGAAGAGAGAAACTCTCCAATGCCTGGAAAATGAGCTGTTTAAATTGCAACATTGGAAATGCTTCAGACATCTGTAAGAGGGAGTGGGATGTTGCTCAAGAAGAAATAACAACCAAAAGAAAAAAAAAGAGTATCTCAAAATTTATTTTTATAAGAGTTTGGCCAAGAATTAAATCCATTATATGTTTCTGACAGTTCCATTACCTAACCGTTAACAGTGTCTACCTAAAAATACACACAAATGTGTGCGTGTGTGTGTTTGTATTGTGCAGACACACACCCTTGCCCCAACCCATACAGTTTGAAGTTAAGGCCGTCCCTTGTCTCCAAAATCAGCAAACCTACAAAGATACAGATTCACATAATTTCACTCAAGTCAAAAGCAAAGAAAGAACAGTTAAGTCTCTTGCCCTTGCTCACCCCATGTTGCTGCTCATTCCCTGTAGCTATAATTGTGTCTCTGGCTAATTCCATAACCCATTTCCCAGAACAAAATGACATGGAGGAATTTCTTCAAACTTCTTCCAACAATTTCCTGGGATACGTGGTGTTAAGGGATGGAATTGCACGGATGCAGAGGGGCGTGAGTCGAACCAGAGTGGCCCATGCAATTTACAGTTGGCCTGCCTGGAACTCGAGGTCTACGGGGCAGCTAACATTCTGACCTCTGTATCTGACCTCTGCACCTATATATACCCCCCACTTCTCTCCCCATTCCCAAACTCCAGCAGGCCGACCTAGGCCGAGTTGGAACTACCTTGCCCGTCAGGATCTGAGCCCGGACGGTGCGGCTCACGAGTGCCTCCACATCTTGCCGCGCCTCCTCCTTTTGCACCGCCGTGGGGGTGTTGAAGGCGATCTTCACCATGGTGAATCTTCGGGCTGCGCGGTAAGGCGCGGCTCGAATCAGTATCCTGGGCTGCAGGTTGGAAGAGGAGGGGATCGCGCTCGCCCAAGCAGCACTTAACTTTCTCCCTGTCTTTCTTCCACAGGCTGCTGCAGGCTCAGGTCCGGGGCTACTTATGACGCGGTCTCTGGCCGAGTGGGAGAGCGTGGGCGGGGCCGGGGAGGTGCTGAGGGAGGAGCGGGAGGGGGCCCGAGCGCTGGAGTGGAAACGAGTGGGGGTGGGAAGCTGCTAGTTGGGAAGCGAGGGGAACTGGAGCTGATGGCCCGCTTAGGGTAGACAAGCCTCACCTGCACCCCAGGCATGCTTCTACTGCCTTCTGCACCCTCAGATAAGAGCGAGGCAGGAAGGAAACCTGCCTGTCGTGTCTTTCTGCTTCTGTCTGGACCACAATAGCCCCTGACTTTGACTCTGTTTTCCCAAACTTGGGCCTGGCCCCCTGCGGGGCCTAGGACTGTTAACTTGGCGCCAACCCAGGGTTTCTCAGTTCTACAACCCACCAAGGCCAGAGAGCACAGTTCCCCGATTGTTCAACACCTTTATAACATCTTCAGTTTAAAGAACACCTAGAAGCTACTTTGTAGTTGCTTGCTTCATTTCGCCCAACACTGATTTTCTTCCATGATTTTTGTTTTCTTTTGTAATTTTAACTTTCCAACTTAAAGTAGTGTTAGATGAGAAAGACAGCGGGGCTTTTGTCTCCCTAACTCCGCATTTTGCAGACAGAACATGCAGACAGAACATGATGAGATACAGAGGAGGGAGGGTGGGAAGCTCATTCCTAATGAATCAGTGAAATAACCCAGATCTTTTCTTTCTCCCTGGCCAGAATAGCCAGAGGAAGGTCTTCGTCCAGAGCCTGTTTCTCTTCAGTCACCAGCTGCATAACCAGCAGGGAAAAAAGCAAGGGTGTGTGCACCTATGTATTTAAGAAGGTAGGGTGTACACAGTGGAACCAGATGCTGGTGCAGCCCTTGTAGAATAAAAGAAATAACCTCAGATGGACTAGGTAACAAAGCATTATCGAACATTTACATCCATATTCATCTAGTATAGTTAACCTGTTTCTTCAATCAGGTCTCCTAGACACAGACACAACCTAACTAGTGAAATTCAAGCTGTGATGGTTGGTGATTTAGAGCTGGTGATAGAGAAGTTATAAATAGTTGGGCTACATAAAACAGAATAGAGGTCTGTTGTATGAAGGGAGCGATACAAAACAAAGCCCCAACAAAACAAAACAAAACACCGTTTTACTAGAGAATTCCCCACCTACTCATCAACTTGACCCAACAGACTTGAATATGCTGAGTTGTGTCCCTTCTATCCAAGAAATTCTAAATTGGAATTTTTCCCATGGAGATTGTTTTGCCTCTAAAGCCCTCTCCCGTCTTGACTGTGGGGGTTTTGCAAAGACAGAGTTCATATTCTCTGTTAGGTCACAGATGGGAAGGTGGATGGAGGGAACAGTGAGGAGCCTGTGCCTTGAACAGGGTCAGGACGGTATAAGCAGGACATTTGAGTTTACTTAGAAACACTGACATTGTATGCTCTTTCACTTTTTACTTCAGTCTTTGTAATTCAATGTTTGCCAGGCAACCCTTGGTTTAGGTAGAGCAAAACCTCAGTTTTCCCAGTCTGGCTCTTTCCAGTTGCCCTCTGTTGGGGATGACCTTTATGAGCCCTTAGTTAGCATCGGCGCTACCCTGACCCACAGCACCTGCATGAGTGAACTCTTACTCTTTCGACACAGTTATCTACTAGGTGCAAGCTGCTGGAGCTCATAGCAGATGCTATTGTCTCTCCTGAGATGTGGAAAGTCAGGAGGGGCAGGAATTTTTTTCCACTCGTTCAGAGAAGAGAATCTCTGCTAGCTACCAAAGGGAACATGTGATCACTTGCTTAGCATGGAGCATTAGGCAACCTACCTGGTCTCCTCGGGCTTCACTTACCTCCCCTGTGTTATTCCCAGGAATGAGGATGTAGAAAGACATACTTTTCTACTATTCAGAAAAGTGAAAATGTCGTGGTTGGTTACCCTAGGACTTCATTCCGGTCTGCAGCATATTCACATTTCAGGCTTATAGAACTTACTTATTTCTGACCTCTTAAAAATCTTTCCCCTTTGAGGACTCCTAAGCAACCTCATTGTCTAGAGGTAAATCTTCCTGTACAAAGTTAAACTCCTAAGCATAGTCACATATATTGACATATGACTTCTTTTGAATAATTTAGCCACCATTTCTTTTTATTATTATTATTATTGATTTTATTGTGTTATACATTTTTCTCTCCTCCTCTCCCTTCTTCTCTCCTCCCCTTCAACCCTCTCCCATGGTCCCCATGCTCATGCTCCTAATTTACTCAGGAGATCTTATCTTTTATCCACCAACTCTTATTTGTTAGTACCATGCTCCCTTTTCAGAATACCATCCACACTCCGCGAAGGATCTTTGCTGCTATTGTCAATATGTAAAGCAGACATAGTGTCAATTTGTCAGATACCACTATTACCTCCCTCCTCGTTCAATATATATATATATATATATATATATATATATATATATGTGTGTGTGTGTGTATACACACATATATATATATGTTTATGACTTTGTTTGTGTGTCTCTCTCCCTCTACCTTCTTCCATCCCTTCCTCCTCTCTCTGCATATATATGTGAGTGTGTATGTGTGTGTGTGTTTATATATGCATATGTATATATATATATATATATGTGTGTATATACTTATGTATATGGGGTAGAAATTTGATTGTGTTTTGGAATCATATTTTAGCAATAACATCCTATGTTAACAACCATTTATTTATTTCAAGCTTTCCTGCATTTTTTAAAACTTCAAAACATATGCTGCAACTTGCTTACCAGTAAACACATTTCTATCTACTAAAACTGGTTCACATTGACTAAGCTCTATTTTGAATTGTCTCCTTTGCAGAAGCAGCTTCTTGTTACTTAACATCAATTTCTCAACTTTCTTGCCTTCAGAAACTGTAGGGGATCTGGCTGCCATGTTGCTTCCAGCTCACATTGTTAATCATGTCTGAATGCACACTATTCAAGTTTATAAATGAGTTCCCTGTTCGCACATGCCAAAGGATGACTGAATTAACACAACTTAGACTGAATTGAACATGGCATGCAATTGGATGTCAAGTAACAATGTCAACTCTCTTTGAATCATCTTCTGGTCACTACACATCCAATCCACTATGTTGGCTATTAGAGGCATCTGTGATACAATTCCATTCATTATCTCATTTACTCCTTCATGCGGTGCTCACTGAGGATCTAGTACATGCCCTACACTGTCATTACAATAGGAATATGAGAATGAAGAAAACAAATGTGACTTTTCCTTTGTAAAATACATTCTCACTGCATAGATGGTTATAACATATGTTTCATGGGTCCCTCAGTATTTGTGGCATAGTAAGACACAGCAACTCTATTAACTACAGAGGGGGATGTTAGCAAGTCTACAAAACAGTGGCACAATTCCGTCCATAGCCAATGCTGCTGTGACTGCCCTAATCCCTAGCTTAACAGCAGTGGTTTTATATCCAGAACCGTAGGAAAATTAATTTAACAGGTTGTGTGTTAGGAAAACAGTTGGGAGGCATTCTTATATATCTTAGGTGAGACACAGTGCATCATGTTGAACACGGACATACCAAAAAGAAGACACAACTTCTAAAGAAATTAAGGAGTCGCTTTAATCACCCAGTGCTGGAATAAGTCATATGAAGGAGAAACAATGAGAAAAATAGCTTTGCTTTTGCTTTTGAATGATATGAAAATCACAGATTGAAGACAAGCTTGACAATAGTAGGATAAATTCACCGATCACACTAAAATTGGAATTTCTCAACTAAAAATCTTTCATTTTTTCCCAGGGTCTTTAATATTTTATGGAGGAGAGAATGACTTGGGTTTAAAGTTTCAAAAATTATATTCCACGGTTGACTGGTTTTCTTGTTTCTGGACCGATAGGAAGTCAGAAAACCACGGCAGTTAGGTATGGAGAAACAGAGCTCCTCAGCTCATGGTGGATGCAAAGCAGATTCAAAGATGGACCCGCGAGAAGAGAGAGGCACTAAAGTGTCTATTGTTCTACTTTATCAAACTGGGACCTACATCCTAAAGTGTCTATCACCTCCCAAAAAGGCCATCAATTTATGAGTCCAATAATGGATCAACCCTCTGATTAGCCCTTATGATCCTATCACCTCTCAGTGATTAGACTGACTATCTGAGGACCCAATTTGCGAGCCTGTTGAGCATACATATCAACTCCCATTTCACTGATAAGGAAACTGAATTTTTTGAGAAATAGGTAACTTGCCTACAGTCAGATTCTAACTTGGGTGAACTGATGCCACATTTTATACTAATAATCACTCGATGACTGTCCTGTTCTTACAGGAAGAAATGAGAAAATCAAGAAGAGAGCTGGTTGAAAGCAGAGAAAGTAATACATTTACTAGTTCAACAAAGGCCATGTTGCCTTCTTCCATTGCAAAAATAGATTCCGGATTAGGATTTTATTCAGTGCTAACTACATTTGGAGCCTTTTGAAAACTTTTCTGGCCTCCACATGCCTGACTATAGGCTACTCATTCATTTTCAAGCACATTGCTTCTACATTCTGCAGTTGCTTATGTCAGCAGGGAAGCAGCAAAAGGCATAGCTCATCAGCCATCTATTTCTGGGTATAACTCTAGGAGCTTAGTTTAGCTTTTAAGGAGCCACAGTATTTTTTTTTAGACCCACAATTTCTTTGCACTTGTAGGTAAATCCGATGAGGTATCTAAGTAACATAGGAAACTTGTTTTCGTAATAGATTCTTATTTTCCCACTTCATTTATGGTTTTCTCTCTAAACTAGGAAGCTCTGATAATAGGAAGGCATGCTAGGTTGGTGGTATATGCTTGTAATTCCAGAACTCAGGGGGTAAAGTCAAGAGTATCTGAAGTTCAAAGTCAGCTTTGGCTACATAGCAAGTCCAGGCCATCGTGGAACACTTAGCCATTGCTTTAAAAGGAGAGGGAGGTGATACAATATTTCCATCAATTAGTGAATAGTTTTAATCTTCTTTTCACAATGAAGAACTCGTACCCTTGAAGTTAAT